GTGTGGCCATCCCCCCTGGGAAGTGATTTCTCTCTTTCTGTCTGTCTTTCTGGTGAGCTCACATCCCCATAGCAAAAAACCCTTAAAAAAAAAAAAAAAAGCCTCCTAAAGGCTTGGGTTAAACCCTTAGGATCTGTTCATGAGAACAGGTTTCTTGAGGATAAAGACATTCTCTTATAATCAAGCTCAATCAATCAAGCTTATAGCTCAAGATCTCTTTCCTCTAATGTCGTTTATTCCAGTAGGCTATCTAAGAAGTATGGATTGCTCCTTCTAACTAGAGATCATTTCCAATGTCCTTTACATTTTCATATCTAGTTCCTGCATTCCATCTTTACAATAATATCATGAGGCAGAAAGATGGGATAAATTGCAAAAATAACCATAAATTTCCCTCCCACCCTATCTGTGCACCCCTCCGCAATGTGATTTTTGCAGGTGAGATTCCACCAAGGTTACATATCCAAGCAATGGAATTTATTTCTCTACCTTTTGAATCTAGGGTTGACCAGGTGACTGGCTTTGGCCAATGGGTCATTATCATGCACATGGCAGAGATTTGAAAGGACTTGGCTTTTCTTATTTACTGCTGGGAACTTGTCCAAGCCAGCCTCTAGGGCAAGAGCGTCAGAGAAGAAGGCTCCAACCATGGCAGACATCCCAGTGGAAGCCCTAGGAATATAAGATCATCTAGCCCCTATTAAACCAGCCAACCTATAGAATCATAAGAAGCAATCAGTATTTGGGGGGCAGCAGGTGGCATAGTAGTTAATACACTGGTCTCCCATCTGGCAGACCACGGTTTGGGTCCCAGACCTGGTGGCTGGCTTTCTTTCTCTCTCTCTCTCTCTCTCTCTCTCTCGTGAACACATGTGCCCTATAGCAAATTTTAAAATAATAATAATAAAATTAAATAAATAATTCTTTTTTTAGCATTATTTTATTTAACTTTATTTATTTTAATTTGACCAGAGTGACAGAGAGAGAGTGAGAGAGAAGGAAAGTGCAAAAGCAAGCAGCCAGGTCCAGGATTCAAACTGCAGTTGGCCATGTGGGAGTCCAGCAACCTTAACCACCATGCCACCTGTCAGCCCCAAATAAATAAATCTTTAAAAAAGAGAAGTAGTTGGGACCAGCAGGTTGCGTGGTGGTTAAGGTGCTGGACACTCCCACATGGCCGACCACAGTTTGAGTCCCAGACCTGGTGGCTTGTCTTCTCACTTTCTCTGTCTGTGTCTCTCTCTGGTCAAATGAAAATAAATGAATGAATGAATAAATAAATAAATATTTTTTAAAAAAAGAGTAGTAGTCAGTATTGTTATTTGAAATCACTAAAATTTAAAGATTTATTACTCAGCAAAAACTACTGATGTACAAAGGCAAGCTCCTTCCTCAATGATGAGAAGCCTCTTCAGGTCAGAGACTATATCATTCAGTGGTTTTAAAATAGTAGGTCATAGGACCAGCAGGTGGTATGGTGGTTAAGATGCTGGAATTCCCATGTGGCCAACAGCAGTTCGAGTACCGGACCTGGAGGCTTATTTTATCACTCTTCTCTCTCTCTTTCTCTGGCAAAACTCATGTAAATAATAATAATTAATTAATTAATTAATTCTTAAAAAAAAAAAAGTAGGTCATAAACCAAAGCTAGTGTGTGACAGTTTTCTCTGGGTTATGACTGAAAAAGAAGAAAGAAAAAAAAAAGGACAATACAGTAGATATCTTTATACTGATGTAAGATTATCATGATCCTTTCTTTGTAAGAACTGTATTTTATTCTGAGGTGAGGACCACCCTCCTTTATTAGCATTAAAGTATCATTTTATAAAATAATTATACATGACCAGCCCTAGAGTGTTGTAGTTAAGTAGTGAGCATAAGGTGCCAGATCCTACATACCTGATCATGGGTGAAACCGTGGCCTGGTAGTTTGAAAAATACACCAAGCACGTGTGCATGCTTGGCCCAAATCCCAAGAGAATGGGATTCTATTTTATTAGAAGAAAAAGGACTGTGGTGTGACCATGCCCTCTTGGGGATGCTTTCTCTCTTTCTCTCTCTCTTTCTCTGTCTCTCTGGCAAATCCATGTGCCCAAACAAAAAAACACAATGATACATGGTAGGCTTATATCTAACATTCTTTCTTGGGCAAAATTAAAAGCTGGCAATCCTGGGCCTCAACATCCCACGTTTTAACGGAAACTTAGCAAGCCCATAATCAAAGTCAAGGACCCACTGCCTTACCCACTTTGACTAGGACACACAGCATCCAGCAAGTGCTTGATGCCCACAGGGTATGAATAAGAAAATTCAGCTCAATAGGTGATAAAAGCAAAACCCAGAGATTGTCTAGGAGTTAGGGGCCCAGTCTTGACCTAAATGCAAATCTGCTGACTCCCACTCCCAGGTGTTTTATGCTGTTTTATCATCCAAATAGATGACATCTCTTAAACACCAGAAGCAAATTCTACACAACTTAGGGAAGATTTTTGTCTTTAGCAAGAGCTTATAACATTGAATTTTCTTAAACTGAAATTGGTTAATTAAAGAACAGTACAGGGAAACCAACAGTTAGCGTAATAGCTATGTTGCTGACTCCCATGTAGTCGACCACGGTTGGAGTCCCAGATCCAGTGGCTTAAACTCATGCTGGGTGCATGTGCATGCGTGCCCAAGATCCTGAAAGGAGAATGAAAGAGAAGGGATTTTGGCATGGCCATCCCCCTCTGCGGGTGATTTCTCACTTTCCCTCTCTCTGTCTCTCTATGGCAAGGGCACATGCCCTGTAGCAAAACCTGGGGAGGAAAAAAAAAAGGAATAGTACAGATAAACCCCTGCAGCCACGCACAAGAAAGAGCCCCAGATTAGCAATCAAGTCCTACACTCTGGACCTTGTCATCTCAGCCTGCCCTGGGAGACCCCAGCCAGGCAAGACACATAGAACTATCTGACTTTGGCCAAAAATTGTGCTGGGGGATGACAAACATTCTATCATAGCCACCTCCCTTTGAGGTTATTATTAATATTCTCAATTGACAAATGGGAAAAGGAGACTCAATACTTGATGGAGGTGGGGGATTTGAACCCAGAGTCCAAGGTTTTTCAGTACTGCAGGGTAATGCCTTTCTGTTTCCTGACAACTGAACTGAATGAATGTTTCCTTAGGAATGAGTCCTCGGTATGTACCCTTAGGCATTGTTCTAGGTGTGAAAGTGCATTCAATTCTCAGAAATATACCATTATTATCTCCATTAGACAGATTAAGAAACTGAGGTACTAAAATGCACCCAGTGGGACCAGAAGTTAGCGTAATGGCTATGTCGCTGAACTCCCACGTAGTCGACCACGGTTCGAGTCCCAGACCCAGTGGCTTAAACTCACGCCGGGCGCGTGTGCATGCATGCCCAAGATTCCAAGAAGAGAATGGAGGAGAAAGGATTGCAGCGTGGCCATCCCCCCTGGGGGGTGATTTCTTGCTTTCTGTCTCTCTGCCTTTCTCTGTCTTTCTGGCAAGGGCACATGCCCTATAGCAAAACAAAACAAAAACAAACAAACAAACAAACAAACAAACAAACCTCTCCAATAAATAAATAAATAAAATAAAATGTACCCAGTAGCATGCCCAAGATACCACAACATAGCTAATCCGAGGCAGAATTCAGTTTTACACCTCCAGTGGGCAGGCAAGTCCTGGACCCAGCTTCAGACAAAGAATCAGAATCTCTAAGGGCAAGGTCCAAGAAGTAACTTTTTTTTTCTTTTTGCTATAGGGTACATGTGCTCCCCAGAAAGAAAGTGAAAAATCACCCTCTAAGGGGGGTGGCTATACTCAATCCCTCCTTCTCCAGTCTTTTCCCAGGATTGTGGGCATGCTCACACACATGCCTGGCAAGATTTACAAGTGTGGGGTCCAGGACGCAGTTGACCAGGTAGGATTCAGGGCCTGAAACTCCATGTTACCTGTTGGGTCCAAAGATTAACCAATTTCTTTTTAGGTTTTTGCCACAAGGAGTGTGTTCTCACAAGAGAAAGAGAGACAGAGACAGAGAGAAATCGCCCCGCCCAAGAGGATGGTCATGCCACATTCCCTTCTCCATTATCCTCTAGGGTTTCTGGCAACGCACACGCACATGCCCAGCATGATTTTCATGCCTTCCAAGTCCAGGATTCGAACCACGGTTGGCCATGCTGGAATCCAGCACCTTAACCACCCCAGGAGTTAACCTTTTGCCATAGTGCAGGCGCCACCACGCCCCCCAGGAGTTAACCTTTTTAACAAGATGCCCAGGTCATTCTGATGCACAGGAAGTCTGAGCCACCAGACTGGGTGTTATACCAAAGCCCTCTGGCCCTAGGAAACTGTCATCTCCAGACCAAGCTCTCACCTCCGCCTTCCCTGCACTGTGGATTGTCAGGACCTTTGAGGATAAAATCCAGCTCACCAGATCCCAGACCTGTTTGTCTTTGTTCCCGGAAGACTGGAGGAGTTCTTTCAGGTTGGGTAACCTGCTGGCATCGGCAAGCTAAAGTGAGAGAGAAACGTCCATTACCAAAGGTCCGGGACAACATGACGCTCAGGGGCCCTCTAGTGGCGCAGTGGCAATTTCCACTCCTTCCAGGTCCCAAGGAATTCCCCAAGAGGGAGGAATACCAGGGTCTGCAGCCCCCTTTCTAAGTAACACCAAACTCTAAAAGCACTGAGCTCTGCAAGGTGTTTTTTTGCTTGTTTGTTCATTTGTTTTAACTCGTTGGTACAAAACTCTGGCTGACGTGAGGAACATTATTGATGTGTCTGAGTAGGGGATGTCCCACTAGAGGGATAACTGGACGCATGGTATGAACACTGAAGGTAAAGGGTTCGCAAAGCCTTTTCCTTCCAGCATGAGGGTCAGTGAGCTCCCAGTTAACTTGCTCCTCTGGAGACCACATAAAAGGTGTGTGGCTGGCCTTCTCACCTAGAGGTTAAGGGAGTCAGATCCCACATCACCGACTGTTCAGTTCAAATCCCAGCCCCAGTGGCTTGAAAAACACACCTAGTGTGTGTACATAGGTGCCCAAAATCTCGAAAGGATGGAGAAATGGAGAAGAGATTGTGGCATGACCATGCCCCACTGGAAGGTGAGAGAGAGAGAGAGCACATGCCCTTAGGCAAATAAAAATAAAAGTGGGAGGCTGGTACGTGGCACAGAGATTGGGGCATTAGACTCCCACATGGTGGCTGAATGTGGTTCAACTCCAGGACCTGGTGGCTTAAAAATCACACCAACCACATGTGCACATGTGCCGAAAATGCCAAGAGACTGGAGGGGAAGGAACTGTGGTGTGGTCATCCTCTTGGCGGGGGTGGGGGATGAATTCTCACTTTCTCTCTCTCTTTCTGTTTCTCTTTGGTAAGTACACACGCCCTCTAGCCAAAAATATAAAATCAAAGTGGGTATGTAAATGCCCCATGACAGTTGGTGCCATGTCTATGCCTGTCTACTGCTTCACCACTCCAGGTCCCTACAACTCTCAGGTTGCTCACTGAGCATCTAGTCTGAGCCAGGCCCTGCGCTGAGGTGGGGGGATAAGAGAGACTTAAAAAGAGGGCTTCCTGGGGCCTGCAGGTGGTGTGGTGGTTAAGGTGCTAGACTCCCACATGGCGGACCACAGTTTGAGTCCCAGACCCAGTGGCTTGCTTTCTCACTCTCTCTTTCTCTCTGTCTCTCTCTCTCCAGTGAAATTAAATAATGATAAAATAAAATAAATAATTTTTAAAAAAGATAAAAAAGAGGGAACCAGCAGTTAGCGTAATGGCTATGTCGCTGGACTCCCACATTGTGGACCGCGGTTCGCGTCCTGGACCCGGTGGCTTAAAACTCACGCCGGGCGCGTGTGCGTGCGTGCCCAAGATCCCGCGAGGAGAATGGAGGAGAAGGGATTGCGGCATGATCATCCCCCCTGGGGGGTGATTTCTCGCTTTCTGTCTCTCTGTCTCTCTCTGTCTGTCTGGCGAGCGCATGCGCCCTATAGCAAAAACCTCTCCAAAAAAAGATAAAAAAGAGAGCTTCCTGGGGCATGGTGGTCGAGGGCACTGGACACCCACATGGCTGAATGCAGTTTGGGTCCTGGACCTGGTGGCTTGCTTTCTCACTTCACCCCACCCCCCACCCCCACCCCCTCTCTCATTCACTCTGTCCCTCTCTGGTCAAATTAAAATAAACAATAAATAACGTTAAAGAAAATAATTTTTTAAAGGGGGGGCTTCCAGTCAAATGAGGAGGCAGAAATAATTATAACTTAAAAGTATTTATCGTGGCCAGCCAGGGAGAATGGTGGTTAAGGCACTAGAACCCACATGGGCAACTCCATGGTTTAAGCCCCGGTCCTGGCTTGAGAAACACACCAGGGGAGTAAGCATGTGTGCCCAAAATCCCAAGTGGAGAATGGAGGAGAGGAAATGAGACATGGCCAATGCCTTACTTTCCCTCTCACTCTGTCTCTAGCAAGTGCACATGCCCTTTAGCAATAATTAATTGAAACAAAATGAAATAAAGGTATTCATTATGGGGCTGGCTCTTTGGCACAGCAATAATGCGTTGTTCAAGAGAAGCCAGATCCTTCGTGGCTACCACAGTTTGAATCCCTGACCTGGTCAGCCTGAAACAGCCAGGCATGTGCGAGTGCCGAAGATCCTACAGGCTGGAAGAAGGGTAACACAGGGCGAGCAGACCCCTATAGCATGCTCATCTCCCTTCCTCCTCTCTCATGTGTACGTGCAAGTCCTATCATGAGTAAATAAAAATAAACAGGGCCAGCAGGTGGCATGGTGGTTAAGGGCCCTGGACTCCCATATGGCCAACTGCGGTTCGAGTCCTGGACCTGGTGGCTTTCTCTCCCTCCTCTCTCTCTCTCCCTGTTTCTCTCTGTTCAAATTAAAAATAAATAAATAAAGTTAAATAAAATAATTAAAAAATAAATAAACAACATTTATTAAAGAAAAAAGTATTCAATGTCATAACAAAGATGGTTACTACCAAGGGGACAGGTGGGACTTTTGTTGGGAAGTGGCTGGAAACAGGGCAGAGGGGCAGGAACAACTTTGCAGAAGAGTTGCTGTGGGACCTGGGTTTGCCAACCAGAGGTGTGCAGAGTGTGCTCAGCGAAGTGGACAGAGGTGTTGTCACCATGCAGCAGCTGGGACCTAAACCTGGCCTCTTACACCCCCACTAGCTGTGCGACCCTGGATGAGCTGTCTGACCGCCTGTGTCTCCATTTCCCAAATAACAGAAATAGGATAATATTAGCCACTTCACAGGATCCCAGCAAAGGTTGCTCAGGTTAACTAAGTGCTCAAAGTGATAGGAAGGTATGGAGTGATCTGATGTTAGTGTGACCGCTGCAATAACTGCCATCCTTAACTGCAGGTGGCTGTGTCAGGAGGGGGATCACCATGACAAAGAAGAGTGGAAGGTAACTTGAGATCAGCCTCAAGAACTCTGGACTTTCATAGATAACATGGAGCCACTGAGGGTACCTGCAGACACATTCCAAATGGTGCACTCTCAGGAAGCAGCTATGCCAACCTCCTGCCTATACCCAGCCAGATGCTCAGCGCCCAGCAGCCTGTAGCTCACCTCAGCCTCCCCTTCCTGCTTCTCTATTCCTCTTTCTTCTCCACGTTTGTTATTCAAAAGCCAGGGCTGAGCCATCTTGTCCCTTTCCCTCTCTGGTCAAATTTAAATAGATCGATCGATAGATAGATAGATAGATAAATGTTAAATAAAATAATTTTTTATAAAAGGGACCAGCGGATGGCATAATGGTTATATCACTGGACTCCTACATAATCAACAATGGTTTGAGTCCCAGACCCAGCAGTTTAAAACTCACACCAGGCACATGTGTGTGAAGGCCCAAGATCCCGTGAGGACAATGAAGGAGAAGGGACTGAGGCGTGGCCATCCCCCTGAGGGGCAATTTCTTGCTTTCTGTCTCTCGGTGAGCGCATGCCCTATAGCAAATCTCTCTTTAAAAAAAAAAAGAGCCTGCCCAGTTAAATATGAACTTCAGATAAATAACAGCACTTTCTCTAGCAGAAATACAGTCTATACAGCACTTGGGTATATTTATTCTAAACAATTTTTTCTTGTTCTTATTAAATTCAAATTTAACTAGGTGGTTTATTTATTGATTTGCTAAATTTAGCAAGCTTCCCCTTAATAAGGCCCTTGGGAATCTGGTCTGGCCTCTGCCTAACAGCATCTCCTGCCACCAGCTCCCAGCCATCCCTAGCCCCTACCACTATGGCTCAAGTGACCTATGTCTCCTCTCTGCCTCCGCAGCTTCCAAGCATGCTATACCACTCGGTCTCCACAGCCAGCCTAAAGTCACCTCCCCTGTGAACCTGACCCCCTGCGACCTCTGAGCTCAAAGGCTGTGTTCTACACCCAACGATTACGGCAGAGTCCCAGTTACGCAAGCCCCCGGAGTCCCCTCAAATCTGGCTGAGACAAACACTCCCTCAGACTCAGCCACATTTGATTATCCCGGAGCCCCAGAAGCAGCCAGCCTAGAACCTGGCATGGCACTCAGAACGGGTCAGTGAGCCCGTTCCACACACCACGCACGGGCTAAGCGCCGGGCACGCATCGTCTTGTTTTACTTTACCAACAACCTATTTTTGTTTGTGAAGAGATTTTTGCTGTAGGGCACGTGCACTCACTAGAGACAGAGAGAGCTGGCAAGAAAGTAAGAAATCACTCCCCAGGGAGGATGATGGCCACACCACAGTTCCTTCTCCTCCACTCTCCTCTGGGACATTGGGAATGCACACACATGTACCCTGTATGAGTTTCAAGCTGCCGGGTCTGAAACTCCAACCTCAGGCAGCCACGTGGGAGACCAGCACCTTAACCACTATGCCACCTGCTGGCCTCCAACCTATTTTTTTTAATGCTGCTATTGGGCTCATGTGCTCCCCAGACAGAGCAAGAGAAAGTGAGAAATTACCCCCCAGGGAAGACAGCACCTCAATCCTCTTGGCATTTTGGGCACACATATACACACGCCTGGTGTGCTTTTCTTTTTTTAATAAGTAGTTATTCAGGACCAGCAGATGGCTTAGCAGTTAGGTCACTGGACTCCCACATGACTGACTGCAGTTCAAGTCCAAGACCTGATGGCTTCAAAATCAGACTGGGCACGTATGTGTGCATGCCCAAGATCCTGGGAGGAGAAGGGAGCACCATCCCACTGGGAGGGAGGGATTTCTCACTTTCTCTCTCACTATCTCTGTCTCTCTCTCTCTCTGGCAAGCACATGCACCCTGAGGCAAAAACCTCTTTAAAAAAAAAAAAGAATTATTCAATATTATTTATATTTTATTATTATTATTTTTAGATTTGCTGGGGCCAGCAGGTGACATGGTGGTTGGGGGCACTGGACTCCCACATGGCCAACTGCAGATTGAGTCCCAGACCTGGCAGCTTGCTTTCTCACTTCCCCTGTATCTCTCGTTCTGTCCCTCCCTGGTCAAATTAAA